CGAAATATTAATTATTTTCAAAAAATTTTAATAAAATTCTTGGCAAAATTTTAATTATTTTCAAAACTTTTCCTCTATTCAATGATTTTTAATAGGTTAATAAAATTTTCCAAAACAATTCAATTATTTAAAACAAAATTTAGTAAAATTTTACACAAACCTTTAATTATTTTCAAAAAATAATAAAAATGTCACAAGTATTTTAATTATTTACAAATTTTTTTTTAAATTTCTTCGCAATCATTCAATATTATTTTCATAAATAATAAAATTTTTACAAGGATTCATTGCATAATTTCAATTATTTTTAATACAATTTTAATTGAATTTCTCGAAGAATGTTTCTTAAATTTTTTTTAAATTTGTCAAAAAAATTCAATTATTTAAAAATTTATTGATAAAATTCTATATCGAAATTGAATTTTAAGAAACATGCAATTATTTAATAAATTTGTTTTTTTTTGTATTTAAATAATTGAATTTTTGTAGAATTTTCTCATAAAAATTTCAAATTTTAGATTATAATTGAATATTAAAAGCATTAGAGCGTAAATTTTTAGAAATATTTAAATTTTGAAAATGTTTCAACTTAAAATCTTTGAAAATTTAATTTTTTATATTTTTTACTAACAATTCTGTGGAATTATTTTTTTGAGAAAGTTCAATTGCAGATTTTTTTATAGTATTTGAAGTTTTTATTTTCTAATATATACTTACTTAATTAAAGAATTTACGAATAATTGAAGTTTCGTAAAATTAAAATCGATCACTCCCAGTCGAAGACTCAAAGTTATCGATATCTTCATGTTTTATAGTTATATAAAAAATTTAATTTATAGTTTTAAGTAAAATGTTCTCTTATTTAACTCGGACTGGTTATATTTTTGTCGGCAATTGATCCGTAAATGGTCCGTAATTTTTTATTTTTGGTCCGTAAAGTCCGTATTTTTAATGTACTTCTACTGGTTCCAGCCCTGTTAATAACACAAAATAATCCCACTTTTATACTATAGAAAATTTATTCCTAAAAATTACGTACAGAATTTTTATTATTTACAAAAATTATAATGACAACATGTATTTGGGTAATTTTTCTGAAAGTGCCTTTTTTTATGTCTCGATTAATGTTACAAAATCTACTCTCTAATACAAATTTGATCTCCGAAGCCTTTTTAAAATGTCTCCAATAGAACTTCTCGAGGTGCGAATTTTCGGTCGCGCTGACCTAGTAAATAGTCGTGCCGACCTCAGTATTATTTTTGATAAAAATGTTTTGAATTTATCTTCAGTTTTAAATATACATAAAAAATATTCTAAACCAAATTTTAATGCACATTTGAAAAATAGTGTGAATCTGATACATAATTTTCCTATATATTATTTATAAAAAGGAGGGAAGTTATTGCTTTTAAAAATAATCAAATTTTACATAAAATAAAATAAAATTCAATTTCATCTCCGAAGCATTTTTTTGAAACGTGTGTTTTTTTTGTTTTTAGTAGGGGAATGTAGTCAAGGTTGGCCTACTGTCTAGGTAGTCCACTCGCGTTTTTTTGTCAAGTTCACTAGCGCCACCTACGCGCATTTTTGTCGAAGCTTGTCTTAGTGAAACCTAACTTTTTGTTCAATTACATTTTCGGAAAATCGAAAATTGTGTTTTCTGTGACGTCGGTACAAAAAAAGCTCAAAAAAAGTTTTGTGCATAATGTGAAAAACCATTAATAAAAGATAAAAAACAAATTGAATCGTCAAGGCAAGTATGCAGAAAATTTGTGGGACTCATGGTTGAAAGGAAGACAAAGTAAAAAATCGAATCCCGAAACGTATTTCTTTATGGTTACAACAATTCGGTAATGTTACTTACTGTCAAGGTCGGCCACTATGTGTTTAAAATGCGCAAAGTTGAGGACGAGCTACTTCATTTGCAAAAACTGCAATTCTGTATAACTCATAATATAATTGATCATCTTATTAATATTTTTATTTAATTTTATTAATATTTTAGTGCAAAACTTTTTTTTATTTATATTTATTTTTTTATATTGTTTATTGTTATTATTTTGTTATTTCATTAAGTTACAAACTGTAAACAATAAAGAATCAATTTTCCGTAACTCCAAACATGTTATTTTAGTTTTTAACGATTAATGCCCTTTGAATTTTAAACATGGCCGACCTTGACTGTAATGGCCAACCTGGACTACAAATTTTTTTTTTTTTAAATCTTTATAACTTTTTCATTTTTAAACCTGTCAATTTACTTTGTACAGAAAAAATGTTCCTATTAAACAGGACTTTCCAACCATATACTTCAATTGTCCAAATTCATTTTTAAAAAAAAGTTATAAACAAAAGTCAAAAAGGTGGCCGACCTAGACTATGTTCCCCTATGTACCTGCATTGTTTTAAAAAAATTAACACAACAATCTAATCATAGATACTTCAACTCGATAGATACTTCAACTCGATTTATATTTTAATCGAACTGAATACATTTTGGTATTAAAATATGCAAATTATTATTTTTTAAGCAGTGTAATTTTATTTTAGAATACTAGAAAGATATTAGCGTGTATTTTTAATATAGAAAAACTTGTGAATAAAATAAAAATAATAAAATGGAACAACAAAGTCAATATTCTTTAAAAAAGAAAAACTTAATATTTTTAAAAATTAATTTTGCGCAACTCAAAAATCATACTCTTGAGTATGAAATAAAGTTGTTTCAATAGAAAAAACCATACCTATAATTTCAACAAAAATAAATTGAAAAATTAACTAAAAGTCAAGTTATTTGGATTGGCTTGAATCGTGAATAAATTATTGACTTACATGTGAGTGATAAGAATTTATATTATTAACAGATTTAAAAATAATTTGTACAAAATAGCTAGGGTTTTATCCCCAAAAAACGAAAATTAATATTGCAGGTGACAATACACTGCAAAAAGAGGTGTCTTATTTTGAGACGTTTTTAGTGTCTTAGACACCAAAAACGTCTTAAATTAAGACGTTTTTCTTATTTTGAGACGTTTTTAGTGTCTTAGACACCAAAAACATCTTAAATTAAGACGTTTTTGGTGTCTAAGACACTAAAAACGTCTCAAAATAAGACACCTCTTTTTGCAATGTAGGTGAACTCTGTATTTTCAAATACAAAAAATACTCAATAATATGATTTAATGTTATTTAATAAAAATAAAATTATAATTTTCCTATTTTCCTGTGTTTTTATCGAATTGATCTCTTCTTAGTTTTTTGTTCATAGATACGATATTGGAAGTCATAGAACTTTACATCTGTAGGTTGTTTAAAAGCTGATCACATCATTTTGCTTCCTTCTTCAAGTCGAATCAAGTGTCAAAATTTCTGTTTTTGCTGGAAAATAAAAGCAAAATCATTATCATTACTACATATAAAGACATTTTTAATAAGGCTTTTTTAACAAATGTAATTTGAAACGTTATAACCTACTTTTATTTTATCGCATAATTTATGAAACAGTCAAAGACTGTCCAGTTTTCTTAGTCTTGACTTAGTTTTCCTCTTCTCTTGAGATTTTTCAAATGATTGTCTTATTACGCTACTCTATTTCAGCTGTTTCAGTTTCTTCATTCTTCTTGTAAAAAATGAAAATATTATCTGTTATAATTGCGTGAATTATTTCAGTTCAACATTACCTTATCTCTTGTGAACAATTATAAATGCTTATATAAAGGCCTTGCTGATTAGGAATACAACACACCATCCAATAATTAATTGGCCTAATATAGAATGCAATAAGCCAAACCAAAATTTGAGAAAGTTTCATACACACAATTTGAATTTTTATTATTTCTCCACCTGAAAGGAAACTAAATATTTGTATTAACTAAAATATATGACGCATATGTGTAAATTTTGATTAAATTTTTATGCTTTTCAAAATTACTTGCATTATTATTTATTATAAAAAATTAAGATATATTTAATATATTCCTTCTCCGTCATTATTAGTAAAATCATAACATATTGCATAAACAAAAAATAAAAATTTTTTTTAAATAATGAGGTGTTTCGCACTTGAATGCACTGTAATTTTGACTTTTGTCGTCAAAATAAAAAGGAACGTACATGAAGTAACACATTCATGTATTAAATATTTTTAATGTAATTGCTGGTTTTTAATTCAAAGTGCATAACGTTCCTTTTCCAAATATAACATATTGCATAAACAAAAAAGAAATAATTTTTTTAAATGACGTATTTCGCACTTTAATGCACGATAATTTTGACTTTTGTCGTCAAAATAAAAAGGAACTTACATGAAGTGACACATATGAAATATTTTAAATGTAATTGCTGGTTTCTCATTCAAATTGCATAACGTTCCTTTTCCGTTATTATTACTTAAAATATAACATATTGCATAAACAAAAAATAAAAAATTTTTTTTAATAATAACGTATTTCGCACTTGCTGCACGATAAATTTGACTTTTGCCGTCAAAATAAAAAGGAACGTACATGAAGATACACATTCATGTAATAATAAATATTTTTAATCTCATTGCTGGTTTTTAATTCAATTTGCATAACGTTACTTTTCCGTTATTATTACTCAAAATATAACATATTGCATAAAAAAATAAAAAAAAATTTTTAAATAATAACGTATTTTTGGTTTTATGCACCATAAATTTGACTTTTGCCGTCAAAATAAAAAGGAACGTACATGAAGATACACATTCATGTAATAAATATTAAATATTTTTAATCTCATAGCTGGTTTCTAATTCAAATTGCATAACGTTCCTTTTTCGCCATTATTACCCAAATGTAACAACGTGTATGAACAAAATATAAATAAATGTTTTTAAAATAATGACGTATTTGCAAAAAATATGTAAATATTTATCACATTTAAAAGAATAATAATTTTGACTTTTACCGTCAAAGTTAAAATTAATTAAAGAAATTGTGAATTTTCCTTTAAAACTGTTAGTTTTGTCTGATATCATTTAAAATTTTTACTTTTTTTGCACCTTATTTAAAAGGAGAGAAGTTCTTTTCGTCGTTATTAAATAAAGAAACATAGTGCATAAAAAATATTAATAGATATTCTTCAGAATAATAACATATTCACAAAAATATACTACATTAATCATGCAAAAGAAACCATTATTACATTTACTTTTCCAGTCATACTAAAAAGTAACTAAATACATTAGGAATCTTTTTTAAAACTGTTAATTCTGTTTGATTCCGTTTACCAGTTTTTTCCACTTTTAAAAGTTATATCTAAACTGTAGGAAATTGTGTTAATTTCATTGTTTTTATAATTTTTGCTAGGTGCGCTCTCATAATCTTGGGGTTAATCAAATACTTATCTGTGAACGGGTCTCTACCCAGCGCCACGCTTGCACAGCGTGCTGCAGAATGCAGGCCACAACTGAAACCATCATTCTGTGTTTGAAGACAAATGGAGCGTACTTTTTCAGATGACAATTTCGGATATCTCTTTTTTATGAATATGTGTTCTTCTTCAGCAAGATCTTTGTACTTTAACTCTGTGTAAGAGCTGTCAAAAATTGTAAGATTTCTATCTTCCGATGTGCCATTCCTATAGTAGTAAAATCGCCAGTGTTTTATACAATTCCCTCCAAAAATTTGAATGTCCTGATCATTAATACATTCAGGCACATCTACATGCTTCATAATGCTATGAACGCTTAGTGTTTGGAAGTTGGAATGTTCTCGCACAACTTGTAAGAATGTATCTAAAGCTTCATCGTCTAACCATTCCCTTTCGCTCTCAACAATTTTTAAGCACTGTTCCAACTTTTCTGGAGCCCAAGCTAACATTATCTGTTTCACTCTTTTCTTTCTTTTTGTTGGCACTTCACTTTCCATGCTTTTTTCTTTTTTCTTTTCTGTCAAGAAAATTTCTTCAATTTCCACGTCATTGATCTTTCTTTTGCTTTGATTTACTTCCACTTCATGTACATTAGCTGTAGGCTCTGCATTTGCAATTTCCACGTCATTGATCTTTCTTTTGCTTTGATTTACTTCCACTTCATGTACATTAGCTGTAGGCTCTGCATTTGAGGCCCTGTTATCAAGAATGTACTTTGGTTCGCGGATTTTCAGCTTTCTAGAGGTACGGCTATCAATGATTTCCGGAATCATGCAATCAAAATAAAATCGTGTCAAATGTGGCTCAATCATTTTTTCCAGAAATCATCATTTCTCCATACAAAAATGACTTTCATTCCAAATGGAGTCCACAACACAAAAAGACCCCAAGCTCTTCTGGTTGCATGCATTTGTCCTTGAATTTGGTAGTAGTATGAATGTTTTGAGTTTAGATGTAAGTTTGGTTTCTTCTTGTCAAAGATACCCTTTAGATCTGGGTAAGTTTTTAAGAGTACAGCAGGTGTAAGATCTTCTCCTCTTTGAGGACATATTATTTCTACAACTCCACTTTCTGAAACGCTGTACGTAAAACAGGGCTTCTTTGTCTGAGCCTTAGGTCCAAAGGCTTTCAAATCTTTTGGATCGGCATTAATTAGTCCATCTGGTGATGCCGCCAAGTACTCTAACTCAGGATCTATCCATATTCCAGTTTGTTCAACAGGAAGACCTATTTTTTTGTCCAATTCCTTTCTCGCGTTTTCTTCGTTTTCTATACCATAAAACTCAGCATCTGAAGGATCCCTTGAAGACGGGTACAACAGTTTCGTCACCAAAGAAGCACACAACGTTGATTTTCGTCTTTTACAGATTTCTCCAAAATTTGAAGACGTCAACATTTTTCCATGGTAATCATTCCACTCTTCATTTGATCTTTGATCAAAAGTGCGTTCAGCAATGGAAATTCTATTTTTCTGATAAACTTTTAAAGTTTGGAGAAAAATTTCTTTTTGAGTGTCAAACATTTCCTCTTCCATGTCTACTTCCTCTGCAAGTGGACCGTAATTTTTGTCATTGAATTTGCTGGTTATTTTCTTGTTTCTTTTTTTAATCTTCTTGTATTGCTTGTTTCTTTCTCTTTTTTCATCTCTTTGCTTCTCCATCTTCAGCACAGAAGCAGGTACCAAATATCCCAGATGTTTTAAAACAACACTTTGCAAGTGTTTTGTACTCCAACCAATTATTGCGCAGTGACATCGAGCACAATAGCTCCCAGTCTTTGAAAGAGATAGTCTTTTTCCTGCACAATGTAAAGGAAAAGAGTATGTGCCATTGCAGTATCGGATGTGGCCATCAAAAGACATTTCCTTATTTCCAATCTTTTCCTTTGCTAAGTTGATCACAGAATCCCCGGTGTCCGCGATTGCTGCTTCATTTTCAGTAATCAAGCAGGCTTTACCTATCTCCATTTCAGTAATAAAAGATTTATCCTTTACAGCTTCTGCGACTAAGTTCTCTGGCTTATCTCCTAAATTCTTTTTAACAACGGCCAAAATTTTCTCTAATTTCTTCTTCTCACGTCTGTAATAATATATTTCATTTATGCCATATAAATATAAATAAATACAATTTTTTGTATTAAAACTTAAATAGTTTGTAAAGTTAAAAATAATTGCATGGAAAACTCATAGCTTTTACAAAATTCTTTCAAAATTAAGTATAAATTCTAAATGTAAGATTTTTATATACATTAGCGACATTTTTTCCAATAAAAGTAACAATAGCTAGACCCCCTCCCCCTTAAATGCTTACATAATACTTGAATGGTTCCTTATCAAAATTTCACAAATGAGGCATTTCACGTCAGAAATATCACGATTTGCAAAGGGTCTGCCGATTTTCGCAAAACTTCGTGGGATTATAGTTCTATATAAGAGACTTCTTTCCCCCAAATTTAAAAAAAATTAAAATTGTTGAAGACACGCCATTTTGAATTTTAATATTAATTATATAAAATTTTGAATATCTCGGAATATAAATAAAGTTAATAAAAAAAATTAATTTTTAAATAAAAAAATTTAAAAAAAATTTTTAAACAATTTTTTGTTTATTTACTCCTCTCTGAGAAAAATGTTATTAACATATTTGGATTCCTTATAAATTCACCTTTAATTTCATAAACAAAAATTGATGGAGACTCAACTGGGTCTTCAGATCAACAAAAATTTTCCAAGAGAGTTAAAGAAAATAACAACTTACCTCCCGAAAACAACAACAATAACAAAAACCCCCTCTCAGTACACAATCCTAACTTACTACCTAACAATCAACAACCTACCTCTCAAGACATTTGGATTTCTCCTAATTTCCCAAAAGAACAACGTTATACGGCGGAAACTCCTCCTCCTTACTTGGTCTTTTTAAAATCTTCTGTACCAAACCAAAACATTGGCAAATACAATCCAATAGCTCTTGCCAAAATGATTCGAGACATTGTCAGTGGTCAATTTAAAATTTATCCAAATTGTCTAAATAGTGTTAAAATTTTTTATGATGACTTTTTGGATGCAAATAAGACCCTGGATATCTTTTCAAATCCAGGCTCTAAATACATAGCTAGTCCACTATCAACTTTGTTTAATAAAAAGGGCTATATTAGCCCAATTGATTTGGATTTAACAATGTCAGGTTTATTAAGTCTAATAGACGAGGATTCCCGTCGTGATATCATTAAACTCAAAAGAAGAGTCAATAAAGAAAAGAAACCAGATGAATCTGTCGAGGTTACCTTCTCTACTGTTTTCATCCCTAGATCTGTCTCCGTTACTAATTTCATGTTCAAGGTGAACCCGATTATCATCCCTCCTAGGAGATGTCATTATTGTCAAATATTTAGACATTCCCTGGAACAATGCCGTTCATCACACCCTATTTGCGAATATTGTGCCCAATGGCACCTATCGGATCAATGTAAGAGCCAAAATTCAAATCCCAATTGTAATAATTGTGGTGGCAATCACTTTGCATCATCCAGTGATTGCCCCACATTCAAATATGAATACCAAGTCGCTAAAACCAGCTATCTTCGTAATCTGAGTTTCCTGGATTCCCAATTTTGGCTTGCCAATAGAGGTATCAATCCTCCTGTCAAAGTCAATAACGACATGGTCATTGACGTTGATGATTTTCCTCCAAATAACAACTCGGAAGCAAATCCAGGTCAATCCTCGAAATTTAACACACCACAAAACAATCGGGATACTCCGGAAAAGCTATACAAGAATTTAGCTAGTCCTATATCGCCTCCGGTTCCGATTGGTGCTAGCTCGCCATTTCGCTCTCCTCAGCAGAACAAGGGTTTCAGAGGATTTCATAATAATTAAATGAAAGTCACACTAAAGTTTAAACTAATTATTACATTAACTAATAAATTTAATTTCACTGTAAATATTTTTATTTTATAAGTTCGAAAATTTTAATTTAAGTATCATTTTAATTATATCTTTAAAATTGTTATTATCCTATTATATTTTATTGGCTTACCCGGATGCTTAAAGTTAATCAAACACTTTAAAGCACACTCAAATTTTTGAGCCTGCAATTATAGTTAAGTAGTATTTAAACTTAAAAATAAATAAATAAAGAAAATCTTAATATGTCTCACTCAAATTCACCTAGGGGGATTAGAATTTGTAACTGGAATTCTCGTAGTATATTGAACAAAAAAATCGAGGCTGAATCTTTAATTACAAGTAGAGACATTGACATTTTGTGTATCACGGAAACATGGCTTAGCCCTAGTATTGCATCATGGGAGTTTAGAGGTTTTAATACATACCGTTGCGATAGAGCCCAAGGTAGGGGTGGTGGCTCAGCAATCTTCTGTCGCAATACTTTTCAGATAGCTAACATAAATGTCCCTAATATATTTAATAATCAAATAGACATATCTGCAATTGGCATTCAATCATCCATGGGACAAATTATAATTTTTTCCGTTTATGTCCCCCCAAACTCCATGATTACTACGGATCAATGAAATCAATTTTTTTTCTACACTCGAAATTATAATCATGTTATCATTAATGGCGACTTTAATTCCCATGCACCTTTATGGGGACATCTTTCATTCAATCATAATGGCAGGAATTTATATCCTGCTCTTGAGAACTCACCCTATATTGTGTTGAATGACGACCAAGGGACATTTTTAGATCATAATAATGTCGCCAACAGTGTTTTGGATCTCGTTATAACATCTGCTGCTATTGCCAGCGTCTCTGAAGTCACAATTGAGGAATGTAGTTATGGCTCTGATCACCTCCCAGTTATAACAGACTTGTATCTAGCCCCATCCACCTGTAGAACCACTGGATATCGCTATAATATTACTGGTGTTGACTGGCAGGTATATTCTCTCAAATTTGATACATGTATTCCTCAAATAGAGGATGGTTTGGCTCAATTCGTATCAATTGTTTCTGCTTACTCTGAATTCTCCCAGTGTTTAAGGATGTCCTTGGAGGCCGCAGGGGGTATACGCCCTGACCCCAAGTACGCCCCTACTAAAATACAACCAACTTGGTGGAACGAGTCCTGCAAGGAAGCTACAGAGAGAAGGAAAATAGCACGTAAAACCTACCTACAAAATCAAAATGCTGACTCATTGGCTGAGTTTCTTGAAATTGATAATGAAGTTAAAAAGTTTTTAAGAAATCAGAAAAGGGATTCTTTTCGAAATTTTTGCAATTCTATTGACCCTTCTATGGGTTCTAAACGCATTTGGGGTACAATTAGAGCCTTCAACACCCGTAATCTCGCAAAATCAACTCAAATATCCAATGATCTTCTTTCTCCGGAATATCTTCAACTACAGGAAGAATTAACTAGACCTGATATTCCTCCCTCCAACATCCCTCTCGCACCTGACAATGACTATGATAATATAATGAATCATGAATTTACCTTACAAGATCTTCATAGAGCTTTAAGCTCTTGTGTCAAAGACACATCTCCGGGAATGGACTATATTTCATATAAAATGATTAAAAAACTATCAATCCAAGGTCTTAGCTTGCTTCTTAAAATATTCAATAGGATATTCAAATTCTCTCAATTCCCCGCAGAATGGCGTAATACTAGAGTTCTTTTCCTTCCTAAACCAGGTGGTAAGGGCTTTAGGCCCATATCTCTGACTTCTGTATTATGCAAATTGCTGGAAAGGATGGTGCATTATCGTTTTGAGTATCTTGTTGAACACAACAGATGGCTTCCGGCGTCCCAATATGGTTGCAGGAAAACCCGATCATCTATGGTCTGCGTTGCTGCTGTCTCAACTGATATTTTACAATCATTCAATAACAATAACTCGGTCCTTGCCCTATCTATAGATATAAAAGGTGCATTTAATTGCGTCCAACCACAAATCCTATTACAGCATCTTACGGAGCTGGGTGTCCCCTCGAGAATATGGAATTTTATAAACTTTTTGACCTCAAGCAGGAACTTATATTTCTCTCAGGATCAACATAATCCCAATGTTGTTGGCATAGGAGTTCCACAAGGAGGGGTTCTTTCCCCTCTCCTCTTCAATCTTTATATGAGGGACATTCAACGCAATCTTGGACCAAATGTTAAAACAGGCATATATGTCGATGATGTTTTTATTTACACAGAGTGTCCGAGTTACCAGGAGGGTCTTAACACTCTTCAGGAATCCATGGCGATTTTGACACCCTGGTTGGTGACTATCGGTATGTCAATCTCAGTTCCAAAATCTCAATTATGCTACTTTTCGAAAAACTCATATAATCCAAATCAAATTTCTCTTCCATACAATAACGAAACAATAACTTGTAAAAATAATGTTAAATATTTAGGTGTCATAATGGATGCAAAATTAAATTGGTCACTACACATATCACATATAATCAAACAGAGCGTCAGAGCATTGAACATTCTAAAGGTTTTAGCAAAGGTTTCATGGGGCTCATCCCCAATTGTCATGCTAACCATTTATCGAGGATTAATTCGGGCCTATTTGGAATGGGGTGTTATTTTGTTTGCGGGGGCATCTAAGAAGGAATTATCAAGACTTGATAGAGTTCAATATGCAGCTCTTCGGATTGCCTTGGGTTGCATGTCATCAACTCCCATATTTTTCTTACTGTCTGAATCAGCTGAACCTCCATTGAGTTATAGACGATCCTTTCTTTGTAATAGGTTTATGGCGAGGTCACTGGCTTATTCTGAAAATCTTATAGACTAGATCGGACTAATTCCGGATTCACTGGTTATACACAAACCGCATTGAGTTTGGATTTATCCGGACTAATTCCGAGCGACAAAAACCTGAAAATAAGCAGACTGTTTCGGATTAGCTGCGGATTCACTGGTTAAACCAACCGGATTACTTCTGCATTTACTAGTTGCATATGATCTGACTAACTGCAGACTAAACCGGACTAATTACGGATTCAATAGTTATAAAAAACGGTATTGATTTTAAACTTAATTCAGGGTGAAAAATCCGCAATAAACCATACTGTTGCGGACAAATTTCGGATTAGTTCGAAATTGGT